AAAGGAAGATCGTTTTCCGCATATGATAATTACTTAGAGACTAAGTCAATTCACACAAACACAATAATTTATTAAACCCATACCATTGCCGAGTTGGGCCTAATTGTACATGTTTTACCCCCGTTTTCCTTTGGTGTTTTTGGCAGTTTCGCTCCTAAAAGGGTGGTTTTACGCTAGGTTTCTCATGTTTTAGTATGTTTCAGGATTTAACAGGTGAAACCAGTCCCGGAGTCCAAAGTTGGACGAAAAGGATCGAAAACCGGGAGAAGAGGTAAAAAAGGCGAGTTCACGGTTTTCCTTTGATGTTCACGGTATTGTATGACCGTGAAGAAGAGACGTTGCCCGTGAACTTTGAGGCGTCCAGGGCCAAAATGCAAGTTACTGACGCTAATTGAGTTAAAAGTCGCTAAGACCGTGAATAGTTTATGTTGGCCGTGAACCCGTGGAAACAAAGTGTTGCGTTTCGGCGCCCATCTAGAGTTCACAGACGCGTTATAGAGTTCACGGCTGTGATCTCAAGACGTGAACTAAGCTAGTTCACTGTTTAAAAGCTGAGGTGAAAGGAAGAAAGAGGTGAGAGCCCATTGTGTGAGAAAGCCTTCTTCAGATTTTTAAAGAGAGAAACACGAACCAAAGGAGAAGGAGGCTAGGGTTTTGCTCCAAGGTGGGATTTGTGAAGATTCTCCCCAAGAGAAGTTCAACACAAGGGTCTAGAAGATTGGAAGCCTCCCCTAAGATGGTTTCTACCTCTTCTCCTTGTGTTTCTCCCATTTCTAGCATGGAGTAGATTTCTTTCCACTTGGGAGTTGTGAGACCCTAACTAGCTACCATGTAGTTACTTTTATGTGAATTGTATGATTGTCATTGGGTATTGTTTAATTAAATGTTTGAAGTATTATTCATGTGATTGTGCTTATCAATCTAAGGATTGTGCATGTTTTGTGCATGTTGGTGCTTATCAATCTAAGGATTGTGCATGTTTTGTGCTTAGCATCCTTAGGTTTATGCATGTTGGTGCTTAGCAACCTAAGGATTGTGCATAATTGTGCTTAGCATCCTTAGGTTTGTGCATGTTGGTGCTTAGCAATCTAATTAGCCACTTTAACCTAGATTAGAGAGGAAAATCCCCCTTCCAAGGGAGACTCAATCGTTTCAATTCACATACCACGGCAGTAGTTAGGGGGAAGTGACACCCGAGTGATCCTTCTCACAAAGAGCTTTCAAAACCATTTACCTTTGCCTTATTTTATTTTAATTAGCAAACTTTTCAACCAAAACTTTGTTGCTAAATAATGATTCAAATGACTGAAGTTGGGGTAAACGGATTGGCCCAGGTTGATATTTAAACATACTTATCCTGTACTACACCCGACTAAGGTTTATACTTGGACCTTAGGCGGGAAATTATTGTGGTATTCGGGACGAGTCAAGCATTTGGCGCCGTTGCCGGGGACAACCGTTTGTTATCTTGAAAAAGTTGTTTGGTGTTAATCTAGCTTTTAATTTTCAGTTTTGGAAGTGTGTGAGCTTTGCATGTGCTAGACTTGGTGTGTTTTCCGATTGTGTGTAGGTGGTGCATGACCCGGAGTAATCCGGCACCTTTGCTACGATTTGACGAGGACATAAACCGAACTCTCCGGCTCCTAGCAAGGGAGAGAGAGCTAGCGGAGGCAAGGAGAAGGAGTGAAAGAAGAGGACAACATTTGGGTTCCGGTGTTAGTGAAGAAGAAGTTGAAGAAGTGGAAGTTGAACCCGTTGTTGTAGTAGAAATGGCGGAAAACCAAAGACAAAATGGAGCTTCCCACGCTCGTCAGCTGAACGATGCGGCGGAGGAAGAAGAAGACCCGAGGACGATGGGGTACTATATGGCCCCAAGGCCGGCAGACATTCAATCGCCAATCCTACATCATCCGGCTCTAGTGACTATGATACAAAGCAAGCTTTATTCCACGGCCTTGAGAGCGAGTTACCAAGAGAGTACGTGTAGAGATTCTTGGAGCTCATGGGGAGTTGGAAAATCAATGGTGTGCCGACCGAAGCTTTGCAACTAAGGATTTTCCCGTATTCACTTTCGGGGAAAACACTTAGGTGGTTAAACAATAGCCCACCTCGGTCAATCACCTCATGGGGCGACCTCCTCAACAAGTTTATGGCTCGCTACTGCCCGCCTTCGAAGACAGCAGAGTGGAGAAAGAAGATATCCCATTTCGAGCAAGAAGAGGATGAGACCTTGAGGGATGCTTGGGAGAGGTACTACGACTATTTTCTTCCGTGCTCTCACCACGAGTTTGAAGAACAGTTTCGGATCGAAACCTTCTACGGAGGCCAAATGTAAGAAGATAAAATCCTCATTGACTCCTTGTGTCAAGGGAAATTGATGAATATGGCTCCGCCCTAAATAACCGAGATACTTGAAGACATGGCCCTCAGGGGATACCACTGGAGGAGAAGCAATGAAAGGGGAGTGAAGCGTGGGCGCGAGTGTTCCGCTTAAGGCGAAGTTGGATAAGTTGATAGAGGTTATGCTTGAAGATAAGAGGTAAGGAAAAAGGCCAGTGATGTCGTGCGACTAGTGCTCGAGCACTAGCCCTGAGATGGCGGAGTATCAAGCAATGAAGGAGGCAACTGCTCCGGAGGAACAAGTCAAATTCGTGGCAAATGCTAGGGCTAACAACCCATATGAAACGTCCCGATACTTTTAACCAAACTGAAATAACCATGGCTCTGGAGCCGATTAAAAACAATACTCAAGATTTCATTTAAAACGAATACAACGGAATCCTTTTCAAATGAAATGCCCTAAACACGTAGACGACCTCAAATATATAGTCGACAAAACCACACAAACTCAAAATCTCGAATCTCCAGTTTATATACTCATAATCATTAAACATAAAAAATTACACAAGTCTAACTCTAACTCCTCACTTAGCTCTTTGACATCTCGTTAATGCTGGTGCGGCTGCACGCATCTCCTTGCCTCTTCTCGAAATCCGCCTCTACTAACTCTTCCTCGACCTGGTGAGTGAGAAGGGGTCAGTCTCGTCGTTACTTCCTAAGGACTTTGCCCTAAGCAACTTTCTGCTAACACGTTATTAGAGTTTCCTTCCTAGCACGAAATCCGTTCTCGCTTCCTTCTCTTAAATAATCATCCTTTCAACTAGCTTATAGAAGCTCTCTACTTCTATCCTGAACTCATAGAAGTTCTTTACTTCTATCCTTAACTTAGATACCAACTACTAGAGACCACCACGTTACGTATCGCCGTCTGCTGTCCCTACCATAGCATACCGACCGCGTTACGTCTCGCCGTCCGGTTGCATAACCAAACTCAGCAATGGCACTGCGTTACGTCTCGCCGTCCAGCCCATGCCCGGTCAACTACTGCATTACGTCTCGTCATCCAGTAGTGACCCCAACAAACATGATCAACTGCTGTGTTACATCTCGCCGTCCAGCAGTGATCCGACCATCTACCGCGTTCAGTAGTGGCCCAACCACCCGGGGGTTTATCTTACATACACACATACATCACATACATAGCACAACGCGTGCCTCCACTTTAAGTAGGCGGTGGGAGCCTCACACACATAATCGCGCAAACTCATAAATTAACTAGCATAATTTGAAAGTAAAGACATAAACTAAAAGATCTCGACGGAGATTTTACCCCTTTACACTCACCTTACGTCGAAGCGGATTGAATTGAATCAACTAGAGGGATCAATATCCCTTCACTTGATCATCGCGTGACTGCTCGGACACAACCCCACCATAACAAGAGCTACGTGTCCTAATGCCATGAAAAACGTCCCACAAGGATCCACTCCTAATCATTGGCTCACCCTCGTTGTTTCCCCACCGGTTCACGTGGTCATTGTTAACTACTAGCTCCACCTAGCATCTAGTCCTCATTCCGGAATATGCCTTTTGTCACCGGAATATGCTATTTGTGGCCGGAATATGCTTACCGGCGTCGGAATCTAGTCATCGGGGCCGGAATATGCCTATCGGCGTCGAAATCTGCTGACTGACGGTCACCGACCACCGGATGTATGGTCTACATTGTGAGATTTATGGTTTGGTTTCTCATATTTTCGTATGCCTTTTGTGGTTTGCTTTATCGTGTTTGTGGTTTGCATCGAGAAGTTTCTGATTTGCTTTATCGTGTTTGTGGTTTGCATTGAGAAGTTTCTGGTTTGCGTTCAAAATTTTTGTGGTTTGCATTGAGGGGTTTCTGGTTTGTTTTAATATATTTGTGGTCTGCATTAGGACGTTTATGGTTTGCGTTTTTGTGGTTTGATTTACTGTGTTTGTGGTTTGCATTAAGAGGTTTCTGGTATGCTTTCGCAAATGTTGTGATTTGCTTTGTGTGGTTTCTGGTTTGTTTTAGGGGATTTGTAGTATGCATTAGGAGGTTTCTGGTTTGCATTAAGAAGTTTCTGGTTTGTTTATCGCATTTTGTGGGTTGCATTATGAGGTTTCTGGTTTGTTTTAATATATTTGTGGTCTGCATTAAGACGTTTTTTGTTTGCTTTACCGTGTTTGTGGTTTGCATTAGGTGGTTTGTTTTTTTGTGGTTTGTTTTACGGCGTTTGTGGTTTGCATTAGGAGGTTTCTGGTGTGCTTTCGCAAAATTTTTGGTTTGCTTTGTGACATTTGTGGTTTGTTTTAGGGGATTTGTGGTATGCATAAGAAGGTTTTTGGTACTTTTTTTTTAGTTTGGTTTACCGTATTTGTGGACTGCATTAGAAGGTTTCTGATGTAATTATGAAATATTTGTGTTGTACATACCAATAAATTCCAAATACATAGTATAAACATAGTAACCCGTAAAAAAATTGAAAAACACGATCCTCACGAACGTTGTTGTCAACTTTGATAATCTTGGATCCAGCCAAGAATTTGGCTAGAAGAAGCATCATTGTGACGATGCTCAATACATGATTATTATTGGCTGGTGAAGGGTTATAAAGTAGGAGATGAACATGCCATCTTATTCATGACCTTCCACTTCCAGGGGGAGAGAAGCAATGGACAGTGGCTCCCCCATCAACGGCAACAGTCTGGCCGGTAATATAAGAGGCTGCCAGAAGGCAGAGGAATGCAACCAACCCTGCCGCCTCCTCCGGCTCTCCAGTTCGTCCCATGGGAGTTCGAGCTCTCACTGCCTTTGAGAACTCCTCGCTCTCAAAGTACTGCAAAACACAACATAAAACCAAACGCTACATTACAACATTTCAATAGCTGCTGCAAAGCCAACTTCATAAATCTCCCCATTCCACTTAAAAACAGAGATTTTTCAAGCCATGGTATTCCACAAAACACTATCACCAAAACCGCCGCTATCGTCCAGATTTCCTCCCTCTCCCATCGGATTCCTCCGCCGCCCGGCGAATCTCGTCCTCCATCTCCTGAAAGTTGCTACACAAACCAAGAATCAAATTCAGGTTATTTACCTTGCTCACGAACAGGCAGAGGACTAGATCAGTGATTTTTCAAGCCATGGTATTCCACAAAACACTATCACCAAAATTTCGCCCACGTTCTGATCTTTCTTCTGCCACCGTAATCAAGAAACACGGTGGGTTCAGTATCCTGAACCGGGCCGCATGTGTAGCCAGGCCCTGGAGCGAAGAGCGTGAGATTCGCAGGTGGGTGGCTGTCGGCTGGTATTGGCTGGGAGATTCCCAACTGTGATTTCGAATGCAGAGAATGATAATGGAGGATCAATTGCCCAGGCCGAGATCACTCCGCTGCGGCAGCATCCCTCGACGGTGGCTCCTTCGGCACCGGGCCATAGGTCGGCGATGAGAGGGTTTTGCTTGCAGCAGTGTGGCTTCTGGGCAGCGAAGTTCTTGTAGTCCCCTGAATCGGTGGCGTATGCGCCTGCTGAAAGTTGCTACTCATCACTCTGTTCCAGTATTCCCCTGCTGCGCTGCTACGACGACCATCAACCTCCTCCTTCTTCGTCTTCGTCTTCTCCTCGTGCGGAGGATCCAGATTCAATCCACTCTCCGCCGCTTCATTTACCACCAACGGACCTCCCCAAGCTTTTCCAGGTTCACTCCTCTTTCCCTCTCCCCTGCTCTGGGGAACGATTCTTAATTTACGAATCCCCACAGCGCACTGAATCTTCTTCCTGCTGATGTGGTCTCCGCCGCCGCCGGATTCATCCTTCTTAGGATGCGGATCGTTAATTGACCCGCTCCAAAAATCACTATTTGGGTTGTGAAGAAGAAGCCGAGGAGAAGCTGATGGTGGCGGAAGAGAAGCTGATGGCGGCGGAGGAGATCGAGGTCTGGTAGGGGAAGAGATCTCCTATTGCAACTCCTCGGAAGAGCGCCGCCTGTGCCGGCGCCAGAGGGAAGAAAACGATCGGCCGCAGAATACGATTGGGATCTGAAGAATTGGGGATTGGAGGAGAAGGACAAACACGCTTTTTATTGCCTTTTTTAATTCTAATTTTATTAATTTTCGTGTAAGTTTACCCTTATACCATTGTTGTTACAGTAACAACATAATGGGTGTTGTTATTCTATCCGGGCCACTTAATTATTCCAGTGAGTAAGCTCTGGCCACGTTAATGAATGATAATCACTACAACCCAAAATGGTTATGGAACGAAAACTGGACAGGGTACTCACCACCACCAACTACTCCATCAACTCTGCTTCCGGATACGCCGCCTACCGCTGCTCATGACGATCAGTAGAGGGTACGTCTAGGTCTTCCTGTGTCCACCCCTCTTAATTAATCCATCGCCGCTTGCCAACGGATGATTGCCTCTTTTATTTGTTGGTTCAATCCCGCCGAGAATGGGCTTTGATGGCCACGAATTCCCTTTCACAAAAAGACAATGGACTTGGTCCATTTAATTCCCTCGACCACGCTATAACTCCATGCACACAAGATAAACAAACTTAATATGTTTGTGCTTAGTTTTAATTGAAGTCGAACATCCTTGGATAATCAACACTTAGACTTAGTCGAGACCCGATTCCATCGCATTCACGTGATACCACAATCAATGAAGGCCAACAGAGTTTCAGCCCTTACTGTTGGAAATGTGTATGAATAGCTTTGAAAGCTATAGAGTCTCAAGTGGAAAAACTACCACATTGGTAGTTTTACTTGGTGAAATGAGTATAAAGATAGGAGCCTCTCTCCTAAGGGCATGCCCCTTGGGGTGACCCACTTTTGTGGGAGAGGGAGGACCTAACGGACCACCACACACGCGCGCGCGCCGTCCGTCCGACCGACCGGTCGGTCGGTCGGATCACTTGAGACTATATACATATTTTTTGGAGAAATTCCGAACGAAATTAATTATTTAATAATTAATTATTAATCGGTTATTCTGAGGAATATTCCAAGGGATAATTGATTGAAAAGGAATATTCGAAGGATAATCTCCGCAGGATTTATCCTAACCGACGGTTTTAATTAAGGAAGTAATTATCTTCCTTAATTAATCCGACTTATTCCCCAAGCAAGAGGGTATATTCCTAGGGGTTCGGCTCCTATAAATAGCCGCCTCCCCAGCCCCTCTAAACACACCACAATGAGCATAAACACAAAAGAGAGAGTGTTCAGAGAGCTCCGGTTTTCGCACAAAACCGCGAGTACACAGAGGAGCTGTTTTATCCTGGAGACGACCGGTTGATAGTCTGCTGTGCGCATCGAGGGCAGTGCCGCGAACGTCTTAAAGAAAGCGACCTAGTCCGTGACTCAGCTCCAGATTCGGTATCCTCATCTTGTTGTTGTTCCGTTTCTAACAATTTTAAGACGTTCGGCTGCTGCTATGTCGACTGAACAGAACAACATGGCCGGATCTGGTGCTATCGATATCAATCGACCGTTTCGCTTCGTTGGAGTCAACTTTCGTCGCTGGAAACAAAAGATGGAGTTTTACCTGACGACCAAGAAGTTGGCACACTGCCTCACTAGCATGCCCGTCGAGCTGCCGGAAGAAGCGACCTATGAGGAGAGGACTGCTTCTGCTAAGGAAAGGGAGCATGACTTCCTATGCAAGGGCTACATCCTCAACGGCCTGGCAGACGACCTCTACGACTACTATGCGGACAGCAAGAACACCGCAATGATGGTCTGGGATGCGCTCCAAAAGAAGTACGACACGGAGGAGGCTGGAGCTAAGAAGTATGCTGTCAGCCGCTACCTGCGCTACCAGATGGTGGATGACAAGTCTGTCGAAGTTCAGTCCCACGAACTTCAGAAAATAGCTCACGAGATCGTCTCTGAAGGTATGCCTCTGGACGATCAATTTCAAGTTGCTTGCATTATTGATAAGCTGCCCCCTTCGTGGAAAGATTTTAAGAATATGCTTAGACATAAAACCAAAGAATTTTCACTGGAAAGTTTGATTACTCGCCTAAGGATTGAGGAAGAGTCCCGCAAGCAGGATATGAAAGAAGAGGTGATGGCCGTCACTGCTAAACGACCCACCCCTAGAGCTCTTAAACCTAACCCGAAAGGGTTTAAGGGTAAGAACCAGCAGGTCCGCCCCCACCAGAATGGTGCCTCTCGAGGTAACCAAAGGGTCATGGCCCAAACCTCTAAGAATGACCCACCGTTTATCTGCTTTAACTGCGGAAAACCGGGTCATATGGCAAAAAAGTGCAGGAACAAGCATAACCCCGCCGCTGCGGCCAGGGTTAACTTGACAGAAGAGGATTTGGTAGCCATGATCACAGAGATGATCGCTGAAGTTAACCTCACTGGTGACTCAGAAGGATGGTGGCTGGATACAGGTGCATCGAAGCATGTATGCAACAATCGTGCTATGTTTAAAACATATGAAGAAGCACCTGCTGACAAGAAAGTGCTGTTGGGGACTACTCACACCACTATGGTTGCTGGTTCTGGTGAAGTGGAGCTGAACTTCACCTCTGGGAAGAAGATGGTGCTTAAGGATGTGTTGCACACTCCAGAGATAAGGAAGAATCTTGTTTCGGGATATCTTCTTAATAAGGCTGGGTTTAATCAATCTATTGGGGCAGACTTGTATACTCTTACTAAGAATGGGAGTTTTGTGGGAAAGGGATATGCATGTAATGGGATGTTCAAGTTGAATGTCGAAATTAATAAGATGAATTCTTCAGTTTACATGGTGTGTGATTTGAATGTTTGGCATGCTCGTCTTTGTCATGTGAACACACGAATTGTGAAGAATTTAAGCAAGCTAGGACATATCCCTAAACTCTCAATGAATGAATTTGATAAATGTGATTTCTGTAGCCAAGCTAAAATAACGAAAACGCCCCATAAATCTGTGAGTAGAGAATCAGAACCCTTAGATCTGATTCATTCTGATATTTGTGAACTAGATGGGACGTTAACTAGGTCTGGCAAGAGATACTTTATCACTTTCATAGATGATTGCTCTGATTATTGCTTTGTTTATTTGATGAAAAACAAAAGTGAAGCCCTTGACATGTTCAAGGTATTTGTGGTTGAATTCGAAAATCAGTGCAATCGAAAGATAAAAAGACTTAGGAGCGATAGAGGATCAGAGTATGACTCTAATCCCTTCAAGGAATTCTATAGCTCACATGGTATCATTCATGAAACCACGGCACCATATTCACCAGAAATGAATGGTAAAGCTGAGCGGAAAAATAGGACATTTACAGAATTAGTTGTGGCTATTATGCTCAATTCTGGAGCTGCTTCTTCTTGGTGGGGTGATATTTTTTTGACGGTTTGCTATGTGCTAAATCGTCTTCCAAAAACAAATAGAAAAGAATCACCCTATGAGATCTTGAAGAATAAGCCACCTAATCTGTCCTATTTAAGAACGTGGGGCTGTTTGGCCTACGTAAGAATTCCTGATCCTAAGAGGGTTAAGTTGGCTAGTCGAGCATATGAATGTGTCTTCGTTGGCTATGCGGCCAATAGTAAGGCATATAGATTCTATGATTTGAATGCTCGTACAGTAATAGAATCCATTGATGCTGATTTCTTTGAGACACGATTTCCATTTAAAACGAGAAATAGTGGGGGTAATGTACTACCCGCTATTAGAGATAACGGAACAAGTGAGGGTGTTGGATCTGAGGATGAACTCAGAAGAAGTAAAAGAGCTAGAATCTCTAAAGATTTTGGTGATGACTTTACTACAGTATACACC